TGGCTTGATGAGCAGTGCCATGTCTGCGCCCGGGATTCGAACCAACAAAACACTGGGCCGCCTGCAGCAGAGTGCGCAAACTTAACCACTCGGCCACAGGGCCAGCCCCCTGGCACAGATTTTTTTTTAAAGCTCCCAGGGCACTAGTCTCTCTACAGTCACAGGGAAATAATATAAATAGATGCATCATATGATCTTAGAACTTAAAGTGCCATCATCTTATTATAACTGCTTTGTCTTTCTGAGGGTGCCTTTGTCATGAAGCCACAATTTATACCTTGCATTTGCCTAGACAGAGTAAGGGCTTAATTAAAGGAGCAAAAAGGGTGTCAAGGCTTGTCCCACAGCTCTGGTGAAGACAGGGGGACAGAAGGCATGATGCCTCTGTTTTTGCCCAGCTGTTCCTCTACTCTTTTGCCTGTTGTCTTCATATATATATAATATCTATATAATATATATATGTAATATAATATTTTTTTTTATAATTTGAGAAGTTTTTTTTTTCAGAGCAGTTTTAGATTCACAGCAAGATTTAGAGGAAGGTACAGAGATTTCCCATATACTGCCACCCCCACACACACACAGCCCCCGCATCAACATCCTCCACCACAGTGGTACATTTGTTAGAATCGATGAACCCACATTGACATATCATCACCCAAAGTCCGTAGTTTACATTAGGCTTAACTCTTGGTGTTGTACATTCTGTGGGTTTGGACAGATGTATAATGATGTGTATTCACCATTATAGTATCATCCAGAATAGTTTCACGGGCCTACCTCCCCTGTGCTCTGCCTGTTCCCCCCTCACCCCTGGCAACCCCTGATCTTTTTACTGTCTGCATAGTTTTGCCTCTTCCCAAATGTCATATAGTTGGAATCATATAGTACGTAGCCTTTTCAGATTGGCTTCTTTCACTTAGTAACGTGCATTTAAGGTTCCTCCATGTCTTTCATGGCTTGATAGCTCGTTTCTTTTTAGTGCTGAATAATGTTCCATTGTCGGGATGTGCCACAGTTTATTTATCCATTCATCTACTGAAGGGCATCTTGGTTGCTTCCAAGTTTTAGTTTTGGCAATTTTGAATAAAGCTCCTGTAAACATTCGTGCACAGGTTTTTGTGTGGACATAAGCTTTCATCTTCTTTGGATAAATACCAAGGAGGGTGACTTCTGGATCGGATGGTGAGAATATGTTTGATTTTGTAAGAAACCTCCATAGTGTCTTCAGAAGTGACTGTACCATTTTACATTCCCATCAGCAATGAGTGGGGGCTCCTATTTTCACATCCTTCAGTTGGGAAGACCAGCCTCATTGAAGTGGGGAAGTTGTCCCTGGATACGCCTGGCTAGGCCCAAGATTCGTACTAGTTCAAGTTGAATACTTTGGGATTTCAGATAGATTCTAACTCTGCAGGGTTGAAATGGAACCAGCTCAGGGAGCGTCTCCACTTCCCCCAGATGACGGGGTCCTCAGCATTCATTCTCTGAAGTAGCAGATGGAAACATTCAAATCCGGATATTCCAGACAGGACCAGCTCTGTGTGCAGGATCTGTTCCTTCACATCCTTTAATCTGAATCTTGGTCCGTCGTCTTTCTGACCCCAGGCGCTCCCCCACAGCTTCCTCTCATCTTCGTTTCCGTGTCTCCTCTGGTTGCTAGCCTGCGTAGATGTCCTGTCATTTTCACAGTTCAGTATAGCTTGGCAGTCAGGAGCCTGGCCTCCGGAGCCACACTGCCTGGGGCTGAACCCCAGCTCTGGGCCGCCAGCACGTGCTTTTGGACTAGCTCCTTAACCTGGCCACACCTCAGATTCCGTTTCTGTCAACTGGGGCCGAGAGTGGTTTAAAAGGGTCAGATGTATATAAAGCACTTAGAACCGTGCCTGGCGCATGGTGAGAGCTCCTGAGTGTGCTGGCAGTTGTGATCATTATTTTTATCCTTATTCTTACTGTGAAGCTCTCTGTGGCCGTGGGGGGCTGTCATTGTTGTCTGCCTTGTGGCATGAGCGTGTATTCGCTGTGAAGGCTTTACCTTTCTTAGGTGGAGCAGGGTATATCTTTTTGTGCATCCGATTCAGAAGAGTGGGCTGCTTTTCACTGTGAGTTGTAGATGTGGTCTGGCACATTTACTCTGGACCAAAGATGGGGAAACGTGAGTAAACTTGAATGAGAAAAATTGATATGAAAGCATCATAAGAGACCAAAAAAAAAAAAACCCCTCTGAAACTGAAGGAAAGGATAATTATATGTATTGAGAGAGATTGAATCATTTCTGTGAAACTGAGCAAAAAAGAGATTACCCCAAAGAGTGTTTAAAGAATACCAAAGTAAAGGGCCTTACAGTATAATCTTGACTTGGATAAAACCGTGGATATTTTACCATCCACGTGCAAAGAATCACTGTCTGCTAAAAAAGAAGCACCATGTGGTATTTGCACAAAATATTCTCTTACTATTTTTTCTTACTATAACTTCCTCTGGCTTTCTTTAATGATTGGTATTGTTTCGTGGCATCATATTTAGGGCACACTTCTCATTGAGAATAAGAAATAATGGAATTCACTAACTGAGAATTTCAAGTTTCAGGCTGTGTCTTCTGATTGACGTCTTAAAGCAAGGACAGAGCTCACCTTTTTTCTGTTGTTGAATGGAATCAACTGGTGGAAAAGTCAGTTACACGGCCTCCTGTTACTCCAGGAACCTGCTGCCATCGTACATCGTTGGCATATTTTCCCATAACAGAGTATCATAATGGATAGTGAACTTAGAGCACTTATTTTCCAAAGAGATGGCTGATACAAGCTGAAAATATCAATAACCCTCCCCTGCCCACCCTGTCCTCCTTGTCAATCTGCATAGCAAACAGACGAAAGCCGAGAAAGCTCTGCTGACTGCAGATGTTCATGACTGGTCCCTGGGTGAAGACAGGTGGCAATATCAAACTATTAGCTCTATATAGGCAGGGACCTTGGGACCCAGGCCCTGGCACAGTGACCACAACACTGTGTACTCACGGACTACTTGCTGTGTGCTGGGCGCCATTCTGAGCGGTTTCCTTGTGTTAATCTATTTAATTCTCAAAAAAACCCTCCTGCAGCAGATGCTATTGTGATCCCTGAATGAGGCGCACAGAGGTTGTGAAACTTGACCTACCCCGTAGCTACAAAGTGGTGAAGCTGGATTCAAACACAGTCTTCAGAGTGTGGACGCTTCCTCATTCCCCTCCCAGCCTCTTCTTACAGTGACAGTTCAATAAATGTGACGAAAGAGAAAACAGAAGAGCAGATCAAGAGAGGGAGGAGAGAGGGAAGGGAGGAGGAAGATGGGGACATAAAGCCGAGGGCGAGGCTAGCCCTGGGACCGTGGGCTGCTAAGTTGTGTAGTTGACTTGCACTCAGGTCTCAGAATCCCCCAACCCGGAGCTTTCCTGCCCTGCTCTGCTGCTCCATTGAAATGAGAATGCCTGACCCACTTCTCTCTGATTCTACTGTAAGACTCTTTCCATAGAGTGAACAACTTCTGCAAGATTGTCAGACACACACGTATACACTTATGTGCTCAAACATATGTATGCCTATATGTGTATATTTTTAGATGTGGAAAATATTGAAACACACAAAACAAATCAAGCATCACCCTTAATGTCCCCAGCTGAAAAAAATGATATAAAGAGGTTAAATTTCCCACTTTATATAGGTAATCCTCTCCATTAAAGGTAACAACACTTTAATAAAAGTTTGGTATCTGTATTTATAAACTTCTCCTCCATGTGTATGTGTGTATATACACACACATACATAAACACTTAATTTTTAATTTATTTTAGTTTTTTAATTTTTGGGTTTTTGCTGAGGGAAATTTGCTCTGAGCCAACATCCATTGCCAATCCTCCTCTTTTTTTCTTGCCTGAGGAAGATTAGCCATAAGCCAACATCTGTGCCAGACCTCCTCTATTTTGTACGAGGATGCCTCCACAGCATGGCTGATGAGCAGAGCAGGTCCATACCTGGGATCCAAACCTGTGAACTCCGGGCCGCCAAAGTGGAGCCACTCAGCCATGGGGCCAGCCCATAAACACTTAATTTTTAAAGAACTTGTTGTCCCTGGGTATCCAAAGGGCATTAGTTCCAGGACACAACCCCCCAAGTCCCTCAGTCAGCCCCTTGTATCCGCGGATGTGGAACCAGTGCGTACAGGTGGCTGACTTTATATAATACGTATAATATAAACATTGTGTATTATTTTCATCTGTACCTCATTTTTATGGCCGCTCAGTATTCCACTGTGTAGATGTGTCATAATGTTTTAAATTATTTTTAGAACATCTGGTGTGATACAGTACTGTTTTTCTAAGTATAGTAATGATAGCCATTTTCCCCAGTGATTTCCAAATCAGTCGTAAGTGCGCTTAAAGGCTGGAGGGGTAATTTATATGTGTATCCGCAAAATGTGGATGTAAAACATGAATGTAAGCCTCGTTGTGAGGTGACGGAGAAGGCAGGACCTGGGGAAACCATTAAATGCGTTCAGATTCTGAGGTAACTGTAGCCAAACTGCTGAGATGACTGAGCAGAATTGGGATGACCGACGAAAAGTGGCTTAGATTACAATTTAAAGATGCACCTCTGTTCCTTAGGGTCAAAACTTTAATTGATTTGGTTAAAAATTAGGGTACTAAGTTTGTTTTAGGTTAAATGTTCAGTTTGGCTCCTTTATTCCCAAATGAAATGAGGCCCTAACTGTCGCAGAATGTTAAAGAAACAGCTAAAAATCAGCTCTTTGCTGCTAATTTACCTTGAATTTGCCTCTTTTCTTTTAATTTATTCCACTTTCCTTGCTGTTTTTATGATTCGAGAAAGCGGTGTGCGTCACTAGGGTGAAAGCAGTCCTTTCTTCCTTGTTTGCGTGTTTTGAGTGATGTAGTTTTACAACTGTTTTGATTCATTGAACTTAAAAAGATTTTGTTACTTGGTTAATGAGTGATGCTGTCTGTTTAGTGACTTCAGATGAAAGCAATAAAACTTGGGGAAGGAACACGGGCTGTCGACAAGAAGAATTTGAAGATGTAAAAAGAAATTTCAAGAAAAAAGGTTGTACATGGGGACCAAGTTCAATTCAAATGAAAGAAAGAACTGATTGCAAAGAAAGGTACGTGTGTGGTCCTGGTGGGGTGCCACCGTGTGCTGTGACAAACAGCAGTGCCTTTTAAAGAATCACGTTGGCCAGACTTAACTTTTAAAAAGCAATTCAAATAATACACAGATAACTGAATATTAATTTAATTTCTAGGATGAGTTTATCATACTAAGTTAATTATTATTTGGTTAAGCTGTTAAAAAATTCTGTGATATATTTTCTGTCTCATTTTAAGGTTTTATTTGTACTTTGTGAGCTCTTCAAAACACAGAATGTGTTCTCTCTGCTCCCTTAAAAATACGATAGGCCTGTGTCCACCAAAACCTAATTTGTGTGTCATGTGGTTCTATTATATCAAAATAAACATCTTTCTCTTGTAGAATAAGACCTCTCTCAGATGGCAACAGTCCTTGGTCAACTATCTTAATAAAAAATCAGAAAACCATGCCGTTGGCTTCATTATTTGTGGACCAGCCAGGTAAATGTGCTTCAGGAAATAGAGTATGTTTGAGTTAGACGTAGCATCTGAGTGTTCTAGAAGCTTTGCTTTAATAGTCTCGTGTGGTCGTTCAAGTAGCATAGGAAGGTCAGCAAGCAGGAGCATTGTTTCTTCCTTTGCCTCACCTCCGAAGTTATTTTCTGTCCTCTAAGTCTTTATGGCAGAAGGTAATTAGGCTCCGCAGTGTTTATTGGAAATTTGTAATTCCTGTTCTGTACCAAAAGAATTTGTATCATAACTAATTACAAAGAACCAAATTAATTTGGTATAGGAGATGGTAAGTATCAAAATAAAGACACCCTGAAATTCTGCTGCGATTAAGGGGTGTTCCTGGCCATATCACCACCTCTTGACAGTGCAACCCTGTCAAGCAGGTCAACTGTGCAGACCACTGCTTGGAGAGTGTTATGTGGAATCTCTGTTTAATTTAAATGAATCCTAATTAGTTTCAATATTCAGTATTCCTATTCAATATTCAGATATTAAAAAGTTGAAGAGAGATGGAAATTGTTGAAAAACTTCATGGATTGTTATTACCAAAGAAAGGAAAATTGGTCTTCATATTTGACAATTTAAGACAGCCCTTTCATACTGTGGCCAAATTAAAGATGTTTTAGCAAAACACAGTGTAAATTTCTTGAATTTATTGTTGGTGCTGTGCTCAATTTTACAAGCACCTTATCGCTCACTACGCATGCTCAGTTTTTTTCGGCATTGTCATGAGGATGTAGTTTCAGTGTAAATATCTCCATAAATACATTTGGGTGTACACAACACAGGTGTTCTCTAACTCCTGGATAAATGCCTTCTATTGTCAGGCTCGCTATTGTGTTCTGACTCCTGCCTATAAAGGCAAGAGATTCTCATATTGCAAACTATGATTTATTGTTAAACATAGTTTGAGGACTAATGAAGAACAAGTAGTAGTAATCAAAGTGTTATTTCTGTAGCATAGTTTTTATTATTTGTGGCTGTCCAGATACAGGGATTAATCAAAGAAGTCTTCCTGCCTTTTTCAAAAAATTCTTTTACTCTTTCTTAGAATATTTTGATCCTATTCATAACGCCTCCAAAGGACATTTGGGGAGATAAAAGGATATATCTGACTGACTCAGCTCGGTCTCCTTAAGTTAACTAACCCTGTAGTTTACTTGAAGGGCTGGTGAGCAAAGATTTACACTTGTCTGTCCTGCCTGAAGGGCCCCTCCCCCTGCCCATGTGAGTGGCCCATCCTTCTAAGCATTCATGTCTCAGCTCAAGAGTTTCCAGAAAGCCTTTCCTGACCAGCTTAGCTGAAGTCGTATGCCACCCCATCCCTCTATCTCGTGAGCCATTTTAATTTATTCACAGGTCTTACCTGAAATTCTTACCTGTCTACATTGACACCCATAATGCTTGTGTTCTCTGTCACCCCCAAACTAGAATGTCGACTCCAAGCCATGGCAAGCAGTCTGTCTGTCAGATGCCTGAATGAACCCTAAAGGACAGTTGATCCTATACAGACGCTGATTATGTTTGCCTTGGTTTGGGGTCCACAAATGCATGTCATAGGTCATGAGAAGAGAAAGATTATGATGGATGTGTGTAAGTCCATGACCGCTTCAGGGGAAAATGTGTTTGTTACTGACCAGTAAAGGTGCAGGCAGCCACACGTTAGGAAACCCTCAATAGATTTGAATCTATGGATTTTACTTTTCAGTAGCTTCCCTCCTTTTTTTTTTTTAAAGATTGGCACCTGAGCTAACCTCTGTTACCAATTTTCTTTTTTTTTTAATTCTTCACCCCAAAGCCCCCTAGTACATAGTTGTGTATTCTAGTTGTAGGTCCTTCTAGTTGTGTCATGTGGGATGCCACTTCAGTGTGGCCTGACAAGTGGTGCCATGTCTGCGCCCAGGATCCGAACTAGTGAAACCCTGGGCCACCAAAGCGGAGCGTGCAAACTTAACCACTCCGCCGTGGGGCCAGCCCCTCTTTTTGTTTTTTAAAGAATGGATTGATGATTTTTATTTGTTACATAGACTGTGCATTCATTTCATCAGAATGCTTTTGTGCCTGCTTGAAGGCGCTATTCAGAAGACACTGAGGTCAACGTTGTAGGAAGCTGTCCGTCTGCAGGCGTTCTCACAGTGCCTGTGACCTAAAAGTGCAACAAAGAGGGAAACTGAGAGATGCTGTAGGGGCCTCAAAGGAAGCCGAGCTTGCACCAGGGAAGATGGGCTGTGTTAGGCAGCGTTAGTGTCAGGTGGTCTTTTGAGCGAGACCTTTATGAGGGAAAAGGGGGCTTGGGGAAGCAGGGTTAGAGGGTGGAAGGAGGACGGAGAGAGAAAGAAGAGGGCACCCTGAGGAAAAGACACTGATGGGAAGTGCAGGGGCCTGTTAGGAGGAACTCTGGCATCTGGCTCGTCTAGACTAGAAAGCGCGTTTTAGTTTCGGTGGGGTGTAGCAGTGGAGAAATAACTGGAGGCTCCCCTCTGTGTTGCTTTGAACAGCAGATGGAGGAGTTTGCGGTTTTGCTCATTCATTGTTAAGCGCCTGAGGGATGAGAATTTTAGCTTCCTCTTCAGCTAGCAGAATTTTCTCCCCCTTGGCACTCTCTAACCTCTTTGGAGACTCTTCCTCGATTGCAGTGGCTCGCAGACTTTAGTAAAGCCTTAGTAAAACACAGACCGCTGGGCTCCACCCCTAGAATTTCTGGTGCCATAGATGGAGTGGGCCAAAAATGTGCATCTGTACAAGTTTCTGGGGATGCAGGTGCTGCTGGCCCAGGCAGCACACTTGAGAACCCCTGACCTGTTGCATGGCAGTTCCTTTACACACAGACGGGCTGTAGATCCTGGGGCCGGACACATTCATTTAGCTGCAGAAAATGGCGGATTTTGTCTGACATTACAGTGCCTATCTATATGTGTGCTCATTTCTCTATCTTGATGACTTTGTTTCTACAATGATTTCTGTTTTCCCTGCTGATGAGGAGTCACCTCCTGAAGGATAGGAAGCAGCAGGTGCTTGCTTGCGGGCCCCTTGCAGCGCACCTCGAGTCGTAGCGCCCCCTCCCCTTCCTTCGCGTCCTCCTGGACGAACCATTTGCTGAACTGAAAAGCACGCCCTGTGTTTTGATTTAGAATATTTATTTATTAGATTTTTTTTAGCTTTATTTTACAGTATAGTTTAAATGATTTTTGCTGTAAAATGGTAATACCATGTGTGTATTTATACCTTTATTTAGGTGCTTGTGAAGAGCCAAAGCTTTCCCCTGATGGCTTAGAACACAGAAAACCAAAGCAAATGAAATCACCTAATCTAGCCTATGTGGATCTACCTCGTTGGAAGGATGGCCAGAGAGAGAATCCAGTGGAACCTGAAAGCTGGGAGGAGGTCAGCTCTCCCAGCCCTGCTGCCGGCACGCCTCAGGTGACCCCCCCAGACAGTCTGAGCAGGTCCTCCCAGAGAAAGAAAACAGAGTCTGCTTTGTACGACTGCACTGTGCTGTTGGCTTCAGTGGCTCTGGGACTGGATATCAGAGAGCTTAATAAAGCACAGGCTGCTGAAGACCTGTTTCCCAGGGAAGAAAGGAAGAAACGGGATGGCATCTTCCAGCGGGCGCCCAAGTCCCGCAGCAGTGCGAGCCCTCCCGCAAGGCTGCCGTCCATGGGCGAGGGCGCTGGCAGCTCCCCCTCACTGCCTCCGTCAAGCGCCGTGAGCCTTCTGTCCATGCCCTCTCTCTCCACAAAGTGCTTGCTCCAGACTGACGGCGAAGATTCCTTCGAGGGCAGCACGCACATCACTTGTGACCCTGAGATGCCCACTCCAGATTTTTGCCCTGCCGTTGGAGGAGGTAGTTGTGAGCCAACCTCCATGCCAAGACTGCAGACCAGTCGCACTGTGTGGGAAAACGTGTCCTCTCCCTTCCCAGAGCAGACACATGGGAACATGCCTTATTATGCTTCTTCAAAAGAACGAGCATCCCGTCACAGACGGACCATGTCTGATGGAAATGCTTTCCAGACCCCAAGTAGGTTGCGTTGGTTGGGTGAAAGTACAAAACACGGCTGTAGAGATTCGAATGTGAAATTCTATGGGTATCTGAATTTGTCTTTTCCAAGTGATGACAGTTACCAATTCATGTTCACTGTGCACATAGATCTTCGAATGTGACCCTACTCTTTTATTTGACTTTAACTCTCATTTGGATTCTGGGAAAAGCATGTTTAAATTTCAGTAACGTAAGTATATCATAGCATATAGAAACAGAAAGAGCATGTGGAGAATAACTGCCCCCAGCCCCTCATGGTAGAGAAGACAGGTCATTTGCCCCAAATCTGAACCAGTAGTTAGTGGGAGAGCTGAAACTGAAGCTGATCATCTAACCTCCCCTCTCATACCTTCTCTTCTACGTCACCCGGCTTCGCTGCACAGTTTATGTAGAGATTAGTTTAGCAGGTGTAAAAGTCAAACAGCACACCAGGTGCTGTGTAGGGACTGACTCTCATTTCTTCCGTATATGAAGATAATTACAACTACAGTCATGTGCCGCATAATGACGTTTCAGTCAACAGTGGACCGTGTATACGACGGTGGTCCCATAAGATTAGCACCACGTCGCCTAGGTGTGTAGTAGGCTGTGCCATCGTTTGTGTAAGTGCACTCTAGGATGTTCACACAATGCTGAAGTCACCTAAGGACGCTTTCTCAGAGTGTCTCCCCATTGTTAAGCGACATGTGACTGTACTTCGTGTATCTGTCATAAATGTTAAGTGAGATAAGGTTTATGAAAAATGCTTTTTAGATTGTAAAATGTTACGCTAGGGTTGGCTATAAAGTGTATTAAAACTGAAACTGATTTCTTTATCTTTTCCTCTGCCCCTTTAAGGACTATATCAAGACATGAGTTTTTTCAGATTAGTGTTTATTGGGCTTTAGATAAATTTATTACTCTTTTGTAATGCAGTGAAGTATTAGTTTTTTATAATTGCATGAGAAGAAATCCTAGCACAGTGATCGCATAAGAAACCATTCTTTTTTTTCTTAATTATAAGCCAATAATGATTTGCTGGGGTGGTGGTGAGTCAGCTCTTCAGAACAAAATAGAGAAGCAGTAACATGTAAAAATCTACTGCTTTCTTATTTTCGTTAATTTTTTCGAATCATGATCTGAAGGTGATGTTTAATCATATTAACCATCATTTTTAAAAGTCTTAACTTGATTCCAGTCTAATCCATTTTGAAATCCACCCTGTTTATAAACCAGTCCTGACGATCATTGTCCTGAGCACTGTGGTGATGGTTGAGCGCTGGTTCCATAGGTTGAAGCGCTCTTTCCCACCTCGCAGGACTTTTTCATAAACAAACATTATATGCTAACAGTTTTAAAAGGTTTGTGTTCAGGTTTCTTTGTGAAGCTCGCTTTATAGTGATTACCTAATTGAACTGTCATCCTAGTGATTTTTCTTGATACTCGTTGTTTCTAATTGCACACTGTCTTTGATTTCTCACCCAGCTGGTACACCTCTTAACTCAACCGCTGGAGCCTCTGAACTGCCACCTGAGTGGGTTTGGGGGCTGCCCCACTCCTCCGGTCCTCACAGTCACCTGCCAAGTGAGGTCCCACCTGAAAAGCAAAGAGCTCTCCATATTGTGCCTCTGCCCCGCCCGGCCTCCCTGAGAAGCCGACGAGATTCCCCGCAGGCCTTCCCACAGAGGACGCAGTCTCAGCCCGTACAGCCTGACCATGTGGTGGGTGGTCCGGGACCGACCCCTAACTGTTCCCTCGGTGCCAAGGAGAGAACTAAAACCCACGTGCCTTCCCTCCTGGACGCTGACGTGGAAGGCCAGAGCACGGACTGCACGGTGCCCTTGTGCAGGATGAGGAGCAGAACGAGCCGGCCGTCCATATACGAACTGGAGAAAGAATTTCTGTCTTAAGTGCCTTACGTTATTCAAGCATTTCTTTTTTTTTAAGGTGAACAAATTAAAACACTGTGTCTACCTTTGGATTGTTTAATGCTGCTGTGTTTGCAAAAGCTGTGGCCATGTTACTGAAACAGTGATGGATGTCTAACTTCTCCCAAAACGTGCGTGATTGCTGTCAGCGGTCTATGTTGTTTTTTCCACTGGGTTTTTACCTACTGACTTGAAATACACTCAAGTGTAAGACAAGAAATGTGCAGCAATGTAAAACTATGCTGGGTGGAGTTACCTTAAGCACAATTCCCATGCTGTGTCAGTTCCGTTTATATCCTTGTCTGTTAGTGCACACAGAGATTGTAACGAGTGCCCGTTTTGTTCCCCGCCTTCCTTTTCCTATTTTCTTTCTCTTTCTTCCTTTTTTTTTTCTGTATCTGTGCAACAAAAAGCCAAGAAGAATAATGTGATATTAGTAAGTAAAGGTGTCTATATAAAAAAAAATTGATGACTAGAATAGATGCAGAGTCTTATTTTAACTACCTAAACCCAGCGGTAGGCTTAAGTGCATAAATATGTCCAGATCTCACCTAAATTATGCAATATTTCTCTCTTTGAGGAAATTTTACTGAATGTAACATGTAAAAGTTTTATTGAATGTAACTTAGAGCCATTTTGTCAATTAGAACTCCAAAATAGATTTTTAAAAGATCAGTCGTTGACGTTTGACTGAGACCTTCCTAGATACGCCTGAGAGAAGCTAAGCTGTAGGCTCCTCCTGGAGAAATGCCTTCCTCAGGAGCCACTTATTTGGTATCCAGAAGGGTAAAACTTTTTCATTTTGTACTAGAATTTTAAAAAATTGACACATGTATCGTGTATTGTAAACATTCATGTCATTTAATTTTATTTTTCCCTATTTAAGTGTATAATTATCCTAATGATCCCAAATACACTTAGAGAGAAACACTGCCAAGTCAAGAAAGAGCAGTACTGTTAGAATTTAACTATTTTGTAGTTATTTCACATTTCATTTAGTTGTGGATAAATGTTAGACGTCTGTTGAGATAAGCTGCTACGGTGCAAAGGGCAAATATATTATAGATTATTTTCAGATAGCGATTTATAAAATGAATCTTTGGATAGCAGATCAGGATTTTAAATGATTTAAAATTAATTTATAAGTCACTTTTATAAATCATACATATGTGACACAAATAGACTACTGAGTTATTAAGCTACAGAAACGGCTCTCCAGGAGTTCGGGAAATTTGCCTGGGTTTCTTTTGTTAAATCTGTTATGCTGCCCTCTGTCCCTAGACTATGCTTATTCAGATAACAGTCAATAAATGTTTAAATTTTCCCATGCAACGAAAAGCTCAATTACAAACGTTACTTGATATTCATTTAAAATTTTACCTTGCTTAGGGATTACTGGATAACTGAAATGTCAGCAGTTAAAATTAAATCAGGCATGATAAAATATCCACCTACGGTAGAAAAAAAGGAAAATTATATTATTTGGCCATTTTGGAATATCTTAGTCACCTGGCAGGCATGCCCCAGCAGATGATGGGCAGGGCAAGAAAGGATTATATTCATATGAGTGCATTTCACCCTGAGGAAAACAGTCTTGTGTTTCTTGCAGCAAAATCTCAGGTATTTACTACATTTTGTTGTATTATAGTCCATTCTATGATTTGGCTTCACTCTTGGATGGTGGTTGAATTATGTAATCGAGACTTTGTTTCCTCAAAATGTTATCGCATTTGTAACTATGGTCAGCTGCTTCATATTTTTGCTTCTACCAAAACACCACGTGGGGGGTGGGCAGTGGTGGGCGTGCATCTCTACTCCATTCCTTGTCCTGTTTAGCTTGATTTTAGTCAACTCTACCTTATGACGAATTTAGAAATGAAACTAGATTAAGAAGATAATTGCGATATAAGGGTTTAATCTCATGTCACTGCAGTTATTTTTTGCTGAGATCACTTGTACATTTGCAATTTTCTGTGTGTATTCGTATACTTAGCAGAATCTGGGTATTTATTTTCGTGTAGACTTGATAGCTCACTGAAAGATGAATTAAGCTGATTACTCTTAGTCAACAATTGAGGTGCTCCCACTGCAGAGACCGAAGGCCTGGGCCTGATGTGCTGTATTATGAAGCCTTGTGACTGAAAAAGATGTTTACATATGTTGTCTATTTTTTTAATAAACTTTTTTTTATGGCTAGTCTATTTGCTCAGTGGCTTTGATCTACTCCTGATGATTGTGACTATAGTATGTAATGGTTTATTTTGTATTTAACAAGAAAAAGTATGTTAATAAAGATAATTGATGGTTAACAAGCCGGGTATTAACCTGCTAAATTCATTAAACTGAAGATCACTAAATAAATCATGGGATTAAATACTTTTTAAGAAAGTATAATGAAATATTTTATTTAAAATGTTGTTTGGCTTACATATGCATTGAAAAGTTGCATTTCATCGTGAGAATTTTGCACCTCCGGCTTTTCAGAAGGCACACGTTTGCAGCATGGAATTAGTATATGAACTAAATGTCAGTTGATGTTATAGGAATGTAATTAATGAGATATGTTAATTATTAACATGTTTAAATCAGAAGAATTTCAAAAACCACTAGACATCTGGTAATTCTTACTAAGTGATAAAAGTTTGAGTGAATTAGAAAAACAGCTCGTAGCATTTCATGCAGATCCAAGCATCAGCCTACCCTATGAGAGGGAGGGAGATTGAATGTCCCTTGTACATCTGCTAAGTGTTAAGGACCCTCCTGGGTGCCTATGTAAGACTCCTCCTGAAACTATTTTTAATAAGATTTGTGAGGTAAGTAGTAGTGTCCCTGTTTTATTAGATAGGAAATGGACACAGATGTTTGGTAAATTTCCAAAGACTCAGTCTGTGTCTAGTCACTACCGTCTACCTGTTCACATCTATGGCAATCATATGCATAATATAGAGGATGAAGACACCTCAATTGTGAGCTTTGTAAATGGGATCCAAAGCTAAGGTAGTTTTTCATTCATCAAAATGTTCGGAGGTCTAGAAATGTGTGAGTATTTACTTAAAAGCAGAGCTAACTGGTTAATACTGTGGGATACTTATAAGTAAATGTAAAATGAAATAGAAAGTACTAAAACATGCGTGTCTAATAGGTCAACTCAAAAATGGAGCATTCTGTACAATGGGTTTATAAATACCGTGAAATTATTTAACAGCTGTAAAATAATTGGACTTAAACTGTCTATACTCCTGAAAAGGCTGACATACTAAAACACAGTGGAAGATGAAGCCTTCATGAATGAAACAATGTAATAGGTACCATAAAGTGGAGCAAAAACTAGCTATTTTTTGCAGTTAAGCAAAATAGGTAAATTGAATTAATGAACTTCCCTATGCTGACAAACTCATTGAGTCGTTACTGTGACAGGCACTGGGAAAGACTAAAGAGATTTAGTGGTGAGCAAGAGAGACACCACCTGTGTACCTTTCCTGCATGATTCTTAAGATTTAGTAAGACATTGAATGAGTAACTAAGTAGGGCTGGCCTTGGGGGTATGCGACTTATGTGGTTGCACAGGGCCTTGCCATCAGAAGGTCTCTGAACTTGATTTTAATGCTTTTCTACCGCCATCTTGAGATCCTTAATAAATTTTGAACAGGATCCCCTCATTTTTATTTTGCACTGGGCCCCACAAATTATGTGGCAAAAGCCTGACTAGAAGTGAAATGAGGTTATAAAAGGTGAAGTAGTTGCTGCTTTGGTACCACTGGAAGAGCTGATCTAATCTGGGGGATTCAGGGAGAGTGGCAGAGGAAACTGGGACCTCAGTTGGGGAGAGGTCCTCCCTGCAGAGTCACTAGCTTGCAGGAAGTCCTTGAGTCATTTTTCTCTTGCTGCTTTCCAGGTTTTCTCTTTGTTTTTGGCTTTCAGCATTTTTACCATGATATACCTTGGTGTGGATTTCTTTGTATATATCCTACTTGGAGTACATTTAATTTCTTGAATGTGTAGATGAATGTTTTCTGCAAACTGGGTGTTTTCAGCCATGATTTCTTCAGATATTTTTTATGCTCCTTCTCCTCCCTCCCTCTGGTACTCTCATTACACATATATTTGTGTGCACAATGGTGTCCCACAACTCTGAGGCTCTGTTCATTTTTATTCATTTTTTCTCTATTTTTGCAGATTACATAATCTATATTGACCTCTTTTCTAATTCTCTCATTCTTCTTCAGTTCAAATCTATTGTCAAGCCCCTCTAGTAACTTTTTCATTTTAATTACTGTATTTTCAACTCCATAATTTCCATTTGATTCGTTTTTATAGTTTTTAGCTCTTTATTGATAATTGTCTTTTTGATGAGACATTGTCATCATACTTCTTTAAGCATGTTTTCCTTTCATTCATTGAACTTATTTGTAATGGCAGCTTTGAAGACTTGGTGAAATCTGGGCTCTTTCACAAGCTATTTCTGTTGCCCACTCCTTGTTTTCCCAGTGTATGGGTCACACTTTCCTATTTCTTTATATGTCTCATATTTTTTCTTGAAAACTGGGCATTTTAGGTAACAGGTAACAATATTGTAGTAACTGTGGATAATGGGTTCCCTCACCCCCCTCTACATCTTGTTTTTGTTGTTTGCTTGTTTAGTGATTTGGATAGACTACTTTAGTGAAGTCTCTTTTCCCCCACAGTGTGAAGCTTTTGGTATTACTCCTCAGAAGGTTCAGGCTTGGCATGCACACGGCCACCCTGGGGTGACACAGTTTTAGAACCTCTCTTTTTGCCTCTTCCCCTCATTTATCCGTTAAGGTGTCTGCTTCATTTGGTATTATGCCCAGCTGTAGGCTCCAATACTTTCTTAGTATGCCCTGAGGCATAAATTGCTCCACAGCCTGTTCAAACTAATTTCAGGCAGGGATAGTTTTGAGGCCAGTCTTTAAGGCTTGTCCCAACCCCAGCTGTGTTCTTGTTAGCTGCCTCTTTGCCTGATTCTCTCTAGTGAACCAACTGTCCTATGGTTTAGCTTGTTGCTCTTAATTAAGAAGAGCCATGGATTTTGAGAGTGCCCTTAGGCTTGAACTTCCCCACACTGTTTCAGATAAAATCAGTGCTTTTGGTGAGAGCTTGCAGCTCTGTTCTTGTGTAACAGCTCTTGCCTTGGGCACAATATCTGAGCCATGCTCTGGACTTCATGTGGAGTGGTAACTTGTGGTTTTCTTGACTGACTTCTCCCGGAGTAGAACCTCTGCCCTCCAAGTGAACTGGTGTGAGGGGATTTAGGAATCCAGTATTCTCACTGGGGTAGAACCTCCACTCTATGAGTCAGGGCTGGATGGAGGAAGGAGTCCTTGATCTTTTGGTGAAACTCACCATGAATTTAGCCCCTTAACTACAGAGTTGGAGGGGATGAGAAATGCTGATGTCCTGTGCCTCCCAGTGAAATATCGTCTCCCCTTATTGGGAGCTGATGGGGGAGGGAGTCCTGTCTTTGTGGCAGAACCTAATTGGAATGGAGCTTTGGTCAAGCTGAACTTGGTGGGAGGAGTGCAGGTGGGTGAGAGGGAGTAGGTCATAGCTCAAATGCCACAGACCCTCACAGTTCTTACCAAGATTTGGTATATTCTTTTTGAATAAATATTTCTTTATTTGCTATTTGCCCTTAAGACAATTTCTAGAGGCTCGACATTTTTTTTAAGATAGTTTTCAGCAGTTATGCTTGTCTCCCTGGGGAATGGGTCCTTGGAGCTCCTCATACAGCCACCCCATAAGTGGAACATATTGGTAATATTTTACAAAGCTGATCACTAACTCCTTTTGAAGCATTTTCTCCTGTTGGTTCATGTAACACCACACATCTAAATTCATGGCTCTCGATGCATGAGGTAAATCACTCTCCATTTTCTATCTCCAGGCCTATCCTAATCCTACCACTCCATTTGTACATATTCTATTGTTTACGCATCATCTCCCCTCGGATGTCTAGAGGCAGTTCAAGCTGGACATAGTCCAAATACAATTCTTGATTCACCACCTTCCGGAAATTTGCTCTTCCCTTAGTCTTCACCTTTTCACTTAAAGGAAGCACTTTATGGCCACTCTTTGGCATATGCCAATTACCAGCATCACTACTCTTGCTCTTTGGGGCCATTATTAGGTAAAGTTAGGGTTACTTGAACACCAGCACTGAACACTGCGGCAGCCGGTCTGATAACCAAGACAGCTACCAAGTGCCTAAAGGGTGAGTAGTGTATACAGCGTGGATACACTGGATGAAAGGGCGATTCATGGCACGGGCGGGGCAGAGTGGGACAGTGTGAGATTTCGTCACGCCACTCAGAATGGCGAGCAATTTAAAACCCATGAATTGTCCATTTCTGGAATGTTCCATGTAATATTTTCAGACTGCAGTTGACTGTGGGTAACTGAAACCGCAGAAAGCAAAATCGTGGATAAGGGGGGACTCCTGTAGTTTCTCCAAAAGATTTTAACTTAGTCTATTAAGGAATGTTTTTCACAGGAAATATGTATCAATTTTATTACATAAGTCTTTAAGAAAATAGTCTTCCTCTCAGTAAACAGCACCAGCACCTAGGAGTCAGAGGCCTCCCCTGACTAGCCTTTCTAAAGTAGCATCATGAATGTATTTGTGTGACCCATGGTTGTTCGACAGCTATTTGTAGGTTAATTGGATGAATTCCCATTCTACAGAAGAAGAAATGGAAGTTTAGATCAAGTAAATTGCTGGATTTGAATCCAGTCTGAGTCTAGTCTAGCTTTTGAAGCACAGGAAAAAAGTTTGTTAAGTGTTAAAAGTTGGTTTTCAGTAAATGTTACTGTTACTATGTTGATCAAAGGGTAGTTAAAAGAAAGTGGTATAAACTATAGTTGGAAGGGAACTTTCGGGTATTATTGGGGAGGACTTTGAATACTAGTCTAAGGATTTGGCACTGTATTTTGCATTAAAAAGGAATAATTATAGGTTTTAATTTGCAGTGTATATTAGAGTTCTCCAGAGAAAACAAATAGGATGTATATATACGTATAGAGAGAGAGAGAGGGAGATTTATTTTGAGGAATTGTCTCACGCAACTGTAAGGGCTGGCAAGTTTGAATTCTGCAGGAGAGGCCAGCAGGCTAGAGACACAGGGAAGAGCTGATGTTGTAGCTTGAGTCTGAAGGCTGTCTGGAGGCAGAATTCTGAGACCAAGGTGTTGGCAGGGTTGGTTTCTTCTGAGTCCTCTCTCCCTGACTTGTTGGTCTTCTTGTGTCTTCATGTCGTCTTCTTTCTGTGCATGTCTGTTTTCCCAATTTCCTCTTC